GCCATGTGGGCGGTGCAGACTTGTGTTCCTGCAAAGCCTGGATTAATTGCTTTGGGTGTGCTTTGGGTGTGCTTTGGGGATGACATTTCTCTGCAGACTACCAACATTTTCTCATGGACCACTAGTGGTCCCCGACCCACTGGTTGGAGACCACTGTTGTAAACCTATTTACTTACAAGACATATCCCTCCTCATGAAAGAGATGTTATAGAATTTCTTCATAAAAGGTTTCTTTGCCCCCACTTAAGCATTCTTTCTGAAGCCAAATGAGATTCCATTAGCTGCTTAGGTACCACTTCTCAACTCTTAAATAATCCCTTTCTTGAGTGGGTCACCAAATACCTTCACCTTGTGTGATAATTGGAAATTCTAGAAATTGAAACGTTCAACGCGCTTGGGCAATACCAGATGAGAAATGGCTGCTTCTGTCAGGCCAAAAATTGCAACCATTGTGGTAGTCACAGCTCACACATTGCTTCTCTACCTAACTTGGGGGTTTTCAAACTTGACAGCTTTAAGACTTGTGGACTTCAACTCCCAGAATTCCTCCTCCAATCATGTTAGCTCAGGAATTCTGGGAGTTGAAGCTCACAAGTCTTAAAGCTGTCAAGTTTGAAGTCCCTTGACCTAACTCATAATAATTCAATGATACATTCATGACCTACAGGTCATCCTTAGGTATCTATTTGCACATTTCTTTCCCACTTCTTTCATCTGTCCTAGATTATTCACATAGCACCTCTCCTCCTATTCATCTCTGCACCATCATATTAACTCCTCAGTACCACAAGAGTTCTGAGCTGGTCTTTTTAAGATTTATGGCAAAGCCCACGCCAAACAGATTTTTCCTTTCCTGGTGGAAAGGAAATCTGGATTGCAAAGGTTGAACTGCAGGACTGTTAATAGATGGATTTGTTGGTCAATGTTTTGAAAACACTGTTATCACCAGATACTTCATCCCATTATTGTGTTAATGTATATAGAAACAAACTGCAATGGTGCTCTCCCACCAGTTATCAATCTACAACTGAGCATGTGGATTGGGACAATGCACAAACTATCCCAAATCCAATAGACCTTGACCCACCCTGTTATTTCCCTTACATCAGATTGCCCTTAAGTTAGTTCACATGCAAATGAAGTGGATGACTAGAGGGCAGTGCATGACCAAAATGCATTCAGTCCTATTGTTAGAGGCTTATCAGAAGGAACTATAATAGCCTATATTTTTGAAGGGCCTTATTATAGCAAGTACTTCTCCGATCAGAACTATTGTTTTATTTTTAGATGCATTCTTTTAAAGGCACCGATTACTTTGAGAAATGAACATTGTGTTTGATTTCTTTTCCTATTCATCTGCATATTGAAGGCAACAGGATTCTGATGGAGCCATAGCAACGAAGACCTACAGCTGAGGTGTAAAAAAAAAACTCTCAGAATTCCTTATCCACCACACACTGAAATATATTGAGAGGATAAGGCTAAAGGCTGCACTTTGTCAGTTTAATATATAGTGTTGGGTGAGGACTGGGAAGTTCAAAACCACTTTCAGCTATGGAAGCTCACTGTTATCCCAACCTAGCTTGTATTTATTAGGGGGAAAACTGAAAGGAATGCTTACCTAGGCCAAATTTCTGAATGAAAATCAGGATACAATTAAAAAAAAAACATGCCTTTTCTGCATTTCTAAAATAGTAGTGCATACCCCATCTGCCTTATGTTCTCTTTTAAGACTTTTCAAGCTTGACTTTTCCTCCCTTTTGGATGAGAACTGTCCCATTGCACTGTACAACTGGAAAGAATAAATCCCAGACATACAGGAACACCGTTACTCTGAAATATGTGTGCCCATGTAATAAGGATTATCAGAAGGGGATTTCCTTAAATATTTAGGATAATTATTCATCCACAGTGTGTAAAATGGAAAAATGCAAGATGGGGAGGATCCGAGGTTATGGGGAATTTGGTTCGGAAAGAAAGTAAACTAAAATAGTGACACTATCAACAATTCTCTGGAAGCATGAGATAAGGTTTGGATTAAGAAGCAATCTGTCCAATCTTTTCCATTGGAGAGGAACTATCTTAAAGTATGATGGCCTTCTGTATTTTCTCACCTGGTATAATGTGCTTTGAAAGCAGGAATCCCATCTGCTGAATTAAGAATTGTTTTAGGTATTAAATAATTTGCTATATTAAACGTGTTCTACAAACAGAAGTAAAAACCAACGATAACATTAGCTTGGGCTTATTTTCATTGGGACATCGGCTTTCTTAAAAACTTGTGCAAATCTGATGTTAAGAGGATTTGGCAAAGTAATATATCACTCAGGAGAGCTTCCTTTTACCTTTTTTTGCAAGTAAAACCAGTTTCACTGTCAATTCTTGAAAAAACACTTGGGATTTATTGATTTAAACTGCAAACAGTCGTTACAAAAGATTCTCTTAAATAAACTCACACAAAGGAAAAAGGAAAGAAAAAGCAATGTAGTGAACAGTAATGGGAAAAATTACATTCAATGTGTTTTTTGTGCCAGTAATGTTTACCTTTAAAAGAGGAAACACTCCATTCTTGGAATACAGAAATGCAAAGACAAACTACATTTGGAATGTCTTTAGACAGGCACTTGAAACCAAAGGGTAATTTTTTTTCTCCTTTAAATACTTACAAAAAAAGGAAGCAAAAATCTTCCTTTTCATCGTCTCACAGCACAGCTTATGCTTATACATTCTAGAGGCCAGCAGTGAAATCCGTATTCTACTGAAGTCACTTGACAAAATTCTCCAATGACATCAGTATGGCCAGAATTTCACCCCACCTGGGAGAGGCCTTGTTGGGCAAAGGAAGGCAAAGAAGCACATGAAACTCAATTTGCAGTCTGACACAAAAAGGGTAACGATCTAAAATAAATAATCCGAACACAGTTGTTGCATTTTTTAAATTAAATTTTCATTTTTTAAAAATAAAATAACCAAAAAAGTGTAAAGTTACAAAAATGTCATTGTAGTATAATATATTAAACTGTGGGGGGAGGGGGAAAAGAAAAAGACTTCACAATCTTAAGATTAATATGGAAGATCATAATTTAAACATAAAAGAATATATTCTATGAATTCATCATCCAGATAAATATGAACAAAATTAACAAAAAAGCATAGGTTTCAGCAATAAATACGTTTTGATAAGTTAAATAAGCTTTATATTGTTGTGCAGTGACAAGCAAAATTTGCTCTCCAATTTCTGAAGTTATACAAAATTAAAAACCCAGGAAAAAAATAAAATAAAAAGCTTGGCGTGAGTGCTCTATGGATAGGTCTATTGTACTCTAGAGCAAAACCATTAAAGCTATGACTACTGGAACTTTGTTTACACTGAACTTGCATGTGTGGAATGAACACCGTTAGATACCCCTCCCCTCCCCACTTTTTTTTGTGAAGATGTCACATGTACATGCGGAGAACCTGTAGCACCAAAAGCAAGTGTTCAATGTCCATCTGGCTTAACTCTCCATTTACCAAGTCCCACGCATGTTAAAGTGAACTGTCCATTCTCAGCTGTTCTTCTGGCTGACCTGAGTTGATTCAGGCAACAAGCCCTTTATAAAAAGGTGGAAGGGGCTGGATGTTAACAGATGTCCACCTGCCAGGTGTCTATTGAACACAGGCAAAGGAAGGGAAGACAGAAGGGAAGAGGTTTCCGCATCTGAACTACTGCTCGTGACAGGAGTTGTTATTTCTAGACAACCCTCCTGCACATCTGGAAATGCAGAGCTCTACAGATGCTGCTGGTGCCCTCTGCAGCTGGAGAGGTAATATAGTCACAGTGAACATATTAAAAGGCACTACTACACTTGTAAACGTTATCACTTTCTTTTGTAATTTGGCACTTGCGGTTTCAGCCAGTGTCTGGACTCTAGGCAGGTGGACGACCTTGGCGTTAACATCAAACCCAAAGATGCTAAGGGAGACTTAGGACAGGAAGGGGGCTACAAGTTTAACATTGTAATACATGTGGGAAGAGAGGCCAAAAGGCAATACCAGATTATTCATCAGAGATGGACAGTCTGCTGAAGATGGGAAGACGTCTTGAGGTGTCCAGGATAGGTGAATCCGAGCCACTGTGGCTGCTGCTAGAGCTGCTCAGATAACCTTCCTGGTCGGAGAGGGAGCCCTGTGGACTCGGAGGAGAGTCAAACATATTTGGGGACTCAGACATGGGTCTAAGGAGGAAAGCGGTGGGCGAGCCCCCCGCAGGCACCTGCACCCCCATACTAGGAGCAAAGAGATTGGTCAGCTCCTGGCTGGAGAAGGTGAATGGATTGCTGGCACAGTCAGGCAGAGTAGGAGAGCCCAGGAGGTCATCACTTATGATGGGCGGAGGGGTTATCGAGGTGGGGCTGTCCAGCAGCCCGTTGGCAGCAATAGCACTTGGGAAGCCAGCAAAGCTGAAACTGTGTTGGAGGCGGGGTCTTTCAGCAATCACAGGCTCTCGACCACCACCAGCTACAGCCCGGCGCTCCTCAGCATTGTGGATGAAATGACAGCGAGGCCCGTAAGGGCAGAAGCCAATGGTATGGAAAGTGCGACAGAGCTCCGTCTTGTACTTGGGATGGCGGGTCAAACTTCGCAGCTCATGGATGCCGTGAGCAAACTGGCACTTGTCTCCGTATTTGCAGGTCCCATTCTCCTCAAACGGGCGGCAGAGCTCCGTCTTGTAGCGACTCGAGTTGACTTGCCCACCGGGCTGCTTTTGCTGAAGCAGGCGCTCTCCACCTTCGGAGAAGGAGCGGTCTCGAAAGCGGTTCTCCCTGGGCCCCAAGGTTGGGGCTGGCTCTCCCTTAAGGCCGTTTAGGAGATGGGTCTGATGGAACTTAGAATTGGGCAGGGTGACAGAATGCCTCCTGGGGAAACCCCCGCCAGCTGGAGTTCCTACCGCCTTCCTGTCCAAAAGACACCCTCCGGCAGCAGAGGGGCCGTAATTCAGCATCTTGTTACTCTGGAAGGAGGAAGTAAAAAAGCAGTCAGCAATCCAGCTTTCAGCTTCATTTGTTTATGCCCTTAAACCTGACCATTCTACTACCCTTTTTCCACAGCTGCACAACTGATTTGCCAACAGTAAAATGACTAAAAGCTCTCTTCTGTACCAGACAGGTCAAACTGTAGGAAGCACACACCACTAATCACAAGCCATGAAGTAGCAAACAAGATTTTCAATGGCTTTCCCATGGGTTCATATTTACTATATCAATGAAATTTTGATTTGTCCTACACAAAGGTGTATCACCATACAACAGGAAGAAGTATCAGCCATAATCTGACCATTATATCATAGTATTTTTCCCAATACTGGCTGTAGATTTCTTTAATTTGTGCACAAGAGCCGAAACTCATTTTAACACAATTCCTCCCCAAACCTCTAGAGAGGAAAACCAGATTTTTTCCAGTAACACTTTCAAGTTTATTTTTTCAGGAACCCAAAATGTAATTCTTGGTGAGGAGAGCCTATGCTACATTTTTTATAAGATGTGAGCTTTGGGATAGATGTTACTTAAAATTTCTCAATGAGTATCATTGTGCCACCTCACTCTGTGCAAAGAAATTACATTTCATGTGGTGCATACATGACTTCATCTCTAAAAATTCCAGTTAGTTTTCTGACCCTACAAGAGGAATCTTTAAAAAAAAAAAACAGTTTAAGCAACTTTTAGTTTGGGTACATGTGATCTCAACCTAAAAGCACCTTATTTCAAAACTGATTTTGTGTCTATATTATGAACATTTAACAAAAAAAGAGGGAAAACCAAACGCAGAACAACTCCCAGGCCGCTCATTTTTGCAAGCCGTAGAGAAGCGGCAGCCCAAGCTGTGGAATCTGTTTCTCAAAAATTGAGGAAGTCGTCACTGGCTTTTCTTCCCACTTGCCTTACGCGTTAAAGCAATCAACAACTCTTCACAAACTTTTAAGAAATGCATACACCCATTGACTTCGGCTAAACAAAGATAAGCTGGGGAGGACGAGAAAAACGTAGCCACATGAGTGGGCTGAGAGATAAGAAAAGCAAACTGTAGAAAAAAGCGAGCTAAGTAACCAGGGCAGAAACCGGGGAGGCGGGAGGGGGCGGGGTGACTTCGCCTGTAAACGGTATTTTGCAAAAAGCCTGAAAGCCAGAACCTCCCTCCCACCCCTACCTTCCCGTCGCCCATCACGCACGGCTCGAGTTCCCTTGCCAGCAAGCCGAGACCGTAAAAGCGTGAGTGAAGCAGCGGGCGCACCAAACTTGCGGGAAATTCGTGGCAACAGCCATCTTTCTCCACCCCGAACAAAACGTGGTGTGCAGCCGAGTAAGTAATCCCAGCAAACTTTTCCAAAGCAGGACACACAGCGACCCCCATACATCCCAGAACACGAGCGCAAAATGGGCTGCAAAGGGCTTTGTTGCATTCCATCACATGGGGAGGAAAACGGGGGAGGGGGGGCCGGAGGAGAGGGGGGGCGACCGAGAGGAAACACGCCTTAGTCCCAAGTACCGAATTTAGGATGAAGGAGACGTTTCCACCAAAATCGGCTGATTCGCACACGGTTTTAACAATGCAATGGTGTTGTTTTAAAAAAAAATGGGGAAACTTTTCCGAACTTTTCGGATGAATGGAGCAACCATTCTAAACTTGTTTCCCCCCAAAAGGGCGAAGTTATTGAAAACGGAAAAATCCTCGGAGACATCCCGTTTTTTAAATCTCGAACTAAAGTCTCGAAATAATTCAAGGGAGAGTCGAGCAAAACAAGAAGCAGAACTCCCCAAAGTCAAATGTAAAAACACTTCCCCACCCACTCACCCACCAAGAGACTTAGCGCTCCAGCAATTCAACTAAGATTTGGGGCTCTCATTAGACAACTTTCCCAAGTAATTTCTCAGCTCTCAGAGCGGTTAAGGCCAAAAAACACAGCTTATTTCTGTTTGTTTTAACGTCCTCGCCAACTTTAAAAAACAACTTGGATTTGGAGGGAAAAAAAGGGAAGAGGGCATTAGATGTAGAACGAGAGAAACCCTGTTTATTCTCCCGAAGCAATCGGAACAAAAGCTTTATTAAAAAAAAAAGTTTTAGAAGATAATGCGGGAGATTAACTTACTTTGCATAAAACTTCACTCAAGTCGAAGATTGTTGGCGACACGAGGGCTGTAGACATCTTCAACTACCGTAGTAAAAAGAGGAATGAAAAAAAAATTGGAGTAAAACTCTTTTTAACAGAAAAACAAAATGATTCAGTGTTGTAAAGGCACAGCCTCCAGTTTCCCTGGGACGGACTCCCTTTTGCCCCCCTCCAGCTCCAACAATTCCCCTTTCTCGTTCCTTCCAGAAGAACTTAACCAAAAAGCTCGATTTATAAAGTTTCAGCTCTTACGCCGTGGGAGGAGTTCCAACTTCATTTAAATGAGGGAGGAGGAGGAGGACGGAGCTCGACGACGGAGGGGATCACCCAGTGGGGTCGAACCTACCGAAAGCCCTTCGGGAGGACGGGGGTGGGGGATGGAAAGAAAGGGGAGGGCCTCGAAGCTCTTGTTTTTAATTTGGGACGGGGGGGTGGTGAAGTTTTGAAGAGAGTATAGTGTTTGTACAAGTTACCTCTAATTAGGCGGCGAAGGAAGGGCTAGTTAAGCCTCTTTTGTCGGGACTTGAATGTAACATGTGACGCTATTCGCTGCACCCGATGCGGCGGCTCCCCCTCCTCCTCTACTTAAGGCGGGATCAATTGTTTCCTTGAGAAGTTTTACACGGTTCCTTCGGGCTTGTGTGAGCGGGAGTTCAGGCAAAGTTTGGGCTCTTTCCCCAGTTCCCCTGCCGCTGAGAGGATTTGCTTTTTTTGTGTGTGACTGCGGGATCCATATAATGCAGTCACCTCGACGGCGGCGGGGGTGTGGGACGCCCCATCTTTTAAGGGGAGCCAAAGCTAGCTGAATCCCACGGGACTTGCTTCCGAGTAAGCAAAGCGGGAATTGGGTGCCGGTTGCGCGCTCATTTTCTAAGCGCGTTTACTCTGAAGTAGGTTGTGGTCAAAGCAAGGATAGAGGGCTTCATAAATCTCGATAGGGTCGGAACCTAAAAATAAGGAACTCGCATGACCATGGTATGAAGAAGCAATTAGATGTAGAGGTCCCCCCCTCCCCCGCTTTTTAAAAATTCATATTCTTATAAGTTAATCCTGGTTTGTTCTGGCCCCAGAAATGTGTTGTAATGTTGAAAAATAAAATACTGCAGTCAAGTTTGGGAGGAAAGATTTCGAGAAAATTCCACGAACCATTTGGTCTAAATTCCCGCTGGAAAATGACTTGTGGAGTTTTTGTGTCTTCCTTCCCCCTCTCCTGCAGTTTTTACAGAGATTCTTCTATTGCCACATTGCTACCGTGCGTTTCTGCAAAGGGCGCTTTTTTTTTTTTAAAGTGCTTTCGTGTTTATTTGAATAGCAGACTTCCCAGTGGTTGCATTTTTATCTCTGGCCTCCCCTCCACTTTTTTTTAAATTGAGTATTATGTCGGATAGTTTCCTGACCGAGTCGAATTTTGTTCCTTAACTTTTGGCGCGATTCGAGTTGGGGAAGGGACACATGCATCGGAACGTGACTGACACCGCGATTTGCATCTGGGAGGGGAAAGACGTCGACTTGCATTCGTTTCCCCCCCCCCCCCCCCCCGTAGACTTTTAAGTTGTGGAAGAAAGGGCTGGGTGGTGGACCGAAGTGGAGCTGGTAATATTTCCTTCCTCTTTCCATGTGACCTCGCAACTGAAGCCTCACCTCCAGAGACGATTGCGGCACAACACTTCAGAGCTCTCGGCCTGTTAGGAAACGCGGCGCCCGTGAGTGCAGTTTCCATCGCTGCGTAATGAGGCCACTTGCTAGCCGCATTTTCGCGCTCGCTCTCGAGCGCACCATTTTGGTTTCCTCTCTCCGCCCCCTCTCCCGAGTATGTCTGAAGCATGTGTACATACTGCAGGTTATATCTACGTTTTCCATCGCCCAAAAGCTTCCCGCCTTAGGCCGGCTTGCATCTCCGCTTTGATTTTAATTCGACTGCCTCGATACATATTCAGGCGTTGCCTTTTTTTTTTCCTTCCCTCCCAGCGTTCCCCTTTTCTGTCTCGTTGCAAGTGTATAAGTGCAGAAGATTAAAAAAAACCCTCCCATTTCAGTGTCTCAAAACATGGGTTACTTCTTAACTGGTTAATTAAAGAGGATATCGGCCTTTTGAATTTCATTATCTTTCCCCCCCCCCTCCCCTTTCCATTTGGCAAGAACATGATTTAACTTTTAGGTGTAGTTATGTTGGGAGAATTATTTACACTATTCAACAGGTGCATGAGAACCTGGACACTAACACTATGCTGAGGAAACCCTTCAAATGAAGTTTTACAGAAAATGAGAAAGAAACTGGGAAGTGATTGCTTCCTTTTGGAATGTACTGCTGCCTAACTGGAGAGCTGATGCCAGACTTATTTTGGTGACAATGGAAAGTGAGCAGAACCAGCAATGCCGAAATCGGGTGGGATAGGACAGGGTTAACTACTGGTTCGGGATTTATGAGCTTCTCTGCAGGCTGGGAGCCACCCACCTGTAAATCGTCATCAGCATGCTGTGTGCAGAGGCAGCCTTTGAAACAGCCCTCTTTTCCTGCTTTTTTAACTGCAGCTGTGCCTTGTTGGCAGCTGAAGTTGAAAAATTGGTTCTACAGAGGTGGACAGAACCGGTAGAAACCCACCCCTGGCTGAAATGTTTTGCTTTACAGCATTGGTAAAGAAAAAAGTATATTTTCTAGAACAAAAAGTTGATTGAAAAGTTAAACCCTTGTATCCCAACCCTTGAAATATATATTATGCCTGAACTGTAAAAATCCAGTTATGAACTAGCTGTGAAGAAATACAGTAAATAGGGCCATCCTAAGTTTTGCATTTGAAAGATGCAATATTTCTGTTTGAAGACCTTAACCGAAAAACAGAAGCTTGCTCAGAAATACTTCCTCAGAATGTAGTGGCTCTTGCTTCTGTGTAAGAATGTTCTTCTGTCCTGATTTTTTAAAAGTGATAAACTTTCAAGAAGGCATGAATATCATTATGAAGACAGAAATGTCATCAAGCACACCTTCCTGCTTCCTCCCTATTTGTTTCAGTCTGGCAACAAATGAATACTTCTGCAAGCCCCTTCCTCAGCTGCTTATTACTTTGTGGCCCCCCACAGGAGCTCTTAAGTAGTGTTCATAGCTTGACAGCATTCATGCAGAAGTAAGCACTATTGGTATCTACGTGATAATACCCAGCAGTGTAAATGTTGTCACAAAAGGGTTGGTACTGTGGTTGTACAATAACAACAGCTGCATAGCTATCTCAATTGTAGAACAAATTGTGACTTGGATAGAGCAAGCATGACTTTGGCATAGGAGCAATAGACCTGGGCATAAAGCTTGCAGTTTGTACAAATATGAAATAGGCTTGACTACATTAGTGGGTTTCATCAGTCGTTAGCCCACGAGAATAGTTATTTGCAAGGCTAAGCTGGCTCCAGAGATACCTGAATGGGTTCAGAAAGAAGACTTCTAATTTCTGTTATTTGGGATTGATTTGAATGGTTTCTAAGAAATCTTGAGAAAATATTTCAGTAGTGGAGGTGATGTCTTTTAAAATTTCTGCTTGGATTATATCTTTAAAAACTGATTTGCTAAACAGAAGCTTGCTCAGAAATACTTCCTCAGAATGTAGTGGCTCACAATCCATGTTTAAAGTCTTACCCTTTTGTAGTAATTTAACTCTGTAAAAATTATATGATTTCTTTAGGATATGGAGTGTGTGTGCGCCCCTTCAGATCAGTTTTTGACTCTTGACAAGTGCCTGGACCAGGGCCTACACTTTTCTTGGCAAGATTTCAGAAGTTGTTTGCCATTTATTTATATTAAATTTATCTTAACCATGAGGTGGTTTACAATGTTAAAACATTGCTTCCTGTCTAGGACAGAGAGTGTGACTTGCCCAAGATTACCCAGCTAGCTTTCTGTATAAGGCTGGACTAGAGCTCATGGTCTCCCAGTTTCTAACCTGATGCCTTAACCACTGCCATACACCAAACTGGCTCTTCATAGGGTATGACTCCTAAATATTTGATGAAGAGCCGGAATCCATTGGAATCTCCATATTATGAAGCTTATGTCACAAAAATAAGCATTTCCAATGACCTTAACTTCCTAACTTCAAAAAACCCATTTAAACTTTAATTGTTTGTGCAAAATGCTACAGTTAACAATGGAACAAGCTTCCTTAGAAGAGAGTCCAGGAGTTACAATATGCCATGCTAAACAAGA